GTTGAGAAGACTTTGGAAGATGACTGCGGTGGGAAGGTCAGAACACAGAAGAGAAGGAAGCACACAACTTTGGAGGCTGTTCATTGGAGGCAGCGAACAGCAGAGTCTCTCCACCACGTGCCGTGCACACTACACGGAGGTCTGGCGTGCCCCCAGCGTGCAGGCAGCTGGAAACTGACAAAACAGACTGCAGGGTGAGAGTGTGGCACATGGAAAGGGCCCATCACCGTCAGAGACTGTAAGGCACCATGAAGAGGTCCTGGGGCTGGGGTCACTCCCCGCTCCTCTCCTTCTCACTATGCTCTGTCTAACCAAGAACTAGAGCTAACCTGCTAATGCAAACTAGTACCACCAGCCCTGCAGCTCCTGCTGCGAAGAAGGGGAACTACGGCACTGAGTCATCTAAGACAACCCAACCACCCTGCCAACAGGCAAACATCTGTCCTGTGAGGAGTTCTTTATGTTTGAGGAGAAGAGGTGGGAAAACAATTTGTAAAACAAACCCACGGACATTTCTAAGACATAAAATGGCATGAAGCAAACATAACGACAGTCTCTTCCACGTGCAATTAAAACAGTGAAAGTGAATGACACTGATGTAATGAAAGAAGGGATGAGAGATGATTCACGGGACAACAGGCTGTGACGAGAAGGGGCATGCCAAAGGGCAGGTGGAAATACAGAACCAGAGAGAATGAAGAAAACTTGAAATGCAAAAGAATTACTCTCCATGACCAGCAATAAAGAGCTGACTGGCCAGTGGAGGAAAAAAAAAATGAATGCTATAATGTGCAAAGTGGACAAGTTTACCCAGAGGGAGAAGGCAGGAAAAGCGCTAAGACAAGCACAAAAAAGAAGAAAGTGATGAATTATATAGCTGTAAGACGGAATAAAACATCCTAGTAAGTGCTGTTTCAGTAAACGCTGTTTCAAACGAATAAACCAGAATAAATAAACAGGAGAGTGATTAGACATAATAACAAAAACTAATATAAGACCAACTATACTTGTTAATGTTTTTGAGCAATTATTGTATAATAAGTATAGTAATAAATACTTGATTACCTTTTTTTTAGCAGTAGCTGCTTTATACACATTAATTTTTTAATTTTCAGGAAAGCACTAAGTAGTGGGCATCATTATGATATGCATGTTAGATATGAAGAAATGAAATCAAAGTAATAGAATAAGAAAAATTTTTTTCAACTTAAGTAAACAGATAATACTAACCAACCAACCAACAAACCCCTAGCAATTGTGTACTTAGTTTTGAATTTCAAAGATAGGGAAGACATCACAGAAATCTAGGCAAGGGAAAAAACACACACATGCGCATATATATATATATATATATATATATGAAAATTATATATATATATAAATTTTATATATATATGAAAATTAGTTTTCAGATTTTGCCATAGTGAATGCATGAAAGCAATGAATTAATATCCACAGCGTTTTAAAGAAAAAAGTTTATCTCACCTACATTATATCTAGTTAAGCTGTCAACACACACACAGGCAACAGAAGTTAATGTCAGATACACAGGGGCTCGGGAATTGAACAAATACATCCAATCCCGAGAAACTGCTGGAAGAAGTATTCAGCCTCACGATAAATTAGTTAAAAATACTAACAAAAATAATATTTGGTAAAGTAGTGCCATAGAAAACTAGCATACATAAATCAATAATATTCATATGTACAAATAACCAGTTAGTAGATATAAGTAAAGAAAAGAACCTACATATAATAGTAACACAAAGTAAAATAACTAGGAACATGCTTAATAGGAAACATGCAAAACCTATATGCAGAAACTTTAAAACACTCCTGAAAGAAACCACAAAGCAACCTTGAACAAATGAAAAGACACAGGATATTCTCGGATAGAAGACAGACATCTGTAACTGGTCTGGGAAGACAGCAAGAGCAGGTTTAAGAGGGGACAAATCAGGGTCCTATTTTGGTGATGCTCAGACTGGCCCCCGAGAGAGGCCACATATGCACCAGATAGATTAGCACGGAACACCAGGAGAGCTCAGCATGAAAGCTACGAATTCGCCAAGTCCCCCACATATGCCACTGAGCACCAGTGTGTATATGGAGAAAAGTACCTAGGACAGAAACTTGGACATTCCAACATTGATCGATTAGCTAGGAGCAGAGACCTGGCGCAGAAGACCACATGGGTCTTGACAAGGAACACAAGCCATGAGTGTGACACCCTAGAAGCCAAAGATAAGTCAATCAGGGAGCGAATTTCTTCCCGTGTTCCCAGTGCCTAGCCCATAGTAAGAATTTAGAAAATATATATTAAATGAATAAAGGTATGAAGAAATCAATGAAAAAATAACTTCTAGAAAAAATATGGTGAAAATAGATCCAAGAGGTAGATGAAAACAAAACTTTCGGATGAACCCTGCATGTGTACTACAGCGATATGAATGTACATGAACATAACAAAAATAATCCTAAATTCTAATTTAAGGTCTAGATATAGCTTTATTTTAAAAGAATGATAGAACATGACAATTTGTCTAATAGTGCCAAAATCTCTAGTAAAACATTCAGCCAGATGTGCACTAAAATACTATAAGAGAAATGGAAAGGTATTAACTATTCATTAACACAATATTGAACACTAAGTGTACAAATAATGTGGACTCATTGGTCTTACAAAGACCCTGAAGACCATGCCACTTTCTCCCTGTTTTCCCAGATGGACCATCAGAATCTGCTCCTATCCCCAGGCATTGGTGTTTTCTTCCAACTTGTCACAAAATCCTCTTTCAACAAATGACTGACATCTGGAACTTCGCATGACCCCTAGAGGTCTTCAAGCAAACACTTGACAACCACACAGAAGCCTGGCATGAGGCTTATTTCATTCTTTCTCATTTTAAAATTTTCAGAAAATGTATAGGGTTGAAATGAAGCCTCTTACTCTAAGAACTATCTGGTCTCTCTTTATGAGCAGTTCCAAAGTGCTATGACCGATTTCACATGCAGTCATCAGTTACTCTCATGATGTCAGTTATGTTCCTGACCGTGTTTCATCAGAATCATGTGGCCAGACATGCATTTCTGTGTGCAAATCTGTTATATCTTTAGAATAGTCATCAAAGCTTCCCACTTTTCTCGAAATCTAGCTTCTTACTCTGCAGAGGTTGAGCTAGTTTATTCAAACCAACCAACCAACCAACCATGAGTCTTTCAGCCAGTTATAAATATGAATAAAGAACATGTCATTCTTCCCTGAATATGATCCATTTTACCTTTCCATATACCTCCTAACAACGCTTTTCAACTTCCTTAAACTGCTGAGTGAGCAAATAAAATCAGTTTTTCATACAAGTTATAGCTAAAATAGTATCTCAGGTGCAAATTATAAACGATGCTTCTTACTAGCTTATCATGTACCTTTCCCCTGCTTCCCAGACTATCACTAAAGAACACTTTTGGTCTTATGCTAGTTTAAAAAAAAAAGAAAATATGTAATATAATGTAAAAAAAAAAAAAAGCTTTTATGATGGATTTTGTAAATAGATTTGTTACAGGGTAACTTGTTCTCTAGCTGTGATCTTATCACTTCAAATGGGTGTAATTTGAATAAATTTTGTATGGTAAAGGATCAATAAAATGATTTTTTTTAAGAGTTAAAAAAAAAAAAAGAAATACTCTTGAATCCACTTCACCCTCTGAGCAAGAGAATTTTTGGTAAAACAGTAGTTTCTTGGTTGTCCATGACCCTGACAATCCGTTTTCTTTCTTTCTTTCCTTTTTTTAAAAGCACTGGGGGCTTTGTCTGGTGCTCCAGTATGTAAAGTGAGCCTGAGTTGAGACTAGAATGTAAATCTTGTAAGACTGTGACTCCTGGCCCCAGGAATCATCTCCTCTTTTCACTTAGTAACAATATGATGCTGGCAACAGGTGCTTCATCTTGACTTGGTTTAATCCTTTTTAACCTGCTAGGAGAGGTATTCTAAGCGCTCATGTACCAAATGAGCAGGGGGTAGGCAAAGGCATTTATGTGTCAAATTATAGCTACACTTTCTGATAACGTGGCTTTATAAAGTTAGCTCGGAATGAAGAAAAATAAAACCTCTGCCATTCCATGTTATTTCTCAACCATTCTAAGGTGGTAACCACCAGGGGCAAGAACGAAAGCCGTGCTGTTTTCTAATCGAAGCAATGGTTTGTTGTGTATTGTGGTTGGTGCATTGCCACTGTTCACTACCGTGTCGTTCTTGGTCACTGTAACACCGATTTTCATAAGGTTTTAGTTTGTTTCCTTCACATCTTCTCTAAGCAAAATACATCTCATTTTCACTTGAGTGATGTAAGTTGTTTCTTCATGTGAAAGCTTTTATGTGACATTTTAAAAAAGTCATTAAGTGCCTTCCATGTGTAGGAATTTGTTCTAGGCAATGTACAAGGGGGGCTGGTAGAAACTGTTCCCAAACTCTGTAAATTAACTTAGTGAAGTAGAGCAGACATAATGTTCACCACAGTGAATGGCTCCATGACTTACATAAGAGCATTAAAAAAAAATCATGTAGGCATGATCGAAGGAATAAAAATCACAAATGACATTGTTTTCAAACCTCATGCAAAAACAGAGTTAGGGAAAATTATAAATTAATGAGATTTCCTTTATGTGTTTTATGAAGGGAAATCTCATTACTTTATAATCACTGGCTATATATCTATAATTATTTATGAACACATACATCGTTTACACAGTCTATAGCTGTCAATCACCTGAATCAAATGTTATGAAATGGAACATTAAATATGGGAAAAATTGTTAAAACCTACTAAGTAAATTTCAGTTACATTATGTTGACTACCATAACATTTGTATAAATACAAAAAGCATACTTTATAACTGTCATCTTTAAGATTTGCTTGCTCGCCATATCAGCCCTGAGAAAAACATATTTCTTAAAACCACAAAGAAAATAATTCTATCAATGGGAAAATGATTTATTTACCTGGGTCTTCTATAGTTAAGTTCTTTATTAACCACTGAACAATGTCTGACCCTAGAAAAAGAAAAAAGAAAAACACAAATATTTGTGAACATTTGTTTATACATGTTAACTTTAAGAACGCTCAACTTTTGGCACTCATATTAGTAGGAAAGTTTGTTTTACGTTTTTGTATATATCTTTTTTTTTTTTTTAATCAAAGTACAGTTGACACACGAGGCTACCCCAGTTTCAGGTGTACAATACAGTGACTCAGCAAGTCCATGTGTCATGGATGCGGCTGCGTCCGTCCCCATCTGACATATGACAATACCGCTGACTATATCCCCACGCCGTACCATTCTTCTCCATGACTTATTAATGGTGTAACCGGAAGTCTGTGTCTTCCCCTCCCCTTTAGCCATTTTGCCATCCCCCCCCTCCGCTCTCTCCTCTGGCAATAATCACCAGTTTGTTCTCTGGATGTATTACTCTGAGTCTGTTTCTGCTTTGTTTTAGGATTCCACATATTAGTGAAATCCTACGGCATTTGTCTTGCTTTGTCTGACTTACGTCACTTCGTGTAATACCCCCGTGGAGGTCCATCCATGCTGCAAATGTCAAGGGGCACCCAGGTGTAAACTAGTAAACTATTTAACACGAAATATTTAAACACGAAGGTTTAATATGCCGGTACTGGACAAAACGATTCATTCATCTGTTCACTGGATGAATGCTTATTGAGTGCCCACTATGTGTGAAGCAGAGTTCTTAGCATGGGATAACCAATACTTTGTAAGATGGTCCTTTTATCTACTCTCAAGCCAAACCAAATGTTTTCTTAGCTTTTGAAAACTCCTCTGTGTTTCAAGTCTCCATGTCTTTACAGTACTATTCTCTTTGACTGAAATGTCTTACCACTATTTTCAAGACACTCAAGATTCATTTACACAATAGAACTTTCCTTGACCCTCATTTCTGTCCACTGAGTTTAAGCAACCTCCATTGAAAGTGAAATGTTATCTGTGTAGTCTTGTATGGTGGCACAGATAACATAATGTTGCAACTGTTTATTTGAATAAAGTCCTTGAGTACCAAGTGGGGTGCCATATTCATCTTTCTACATTTGGAACAAAGCAAGTGTTTGATAACGTGTGATGAAAAAAAATGAGTAAATATAGGTTTTCATTTCATACAAAATAAGTGAAGCAGGGTCTGCAGAAAATATAATGTTTGAGCTAGATTTTGATATATGAAAAATACAAAATGTAGTTACTGAAGGCCCATGTCAAAGTTAAAAGGGGGACAGTAGGCAGCAAGAACTATTGAATTCTTTCTATACACCACGTGCTGGGAATAACAGGAATGTGATACTAATAAGAGTGTTCACAGTGTATTCAGCACATCTTGAATTCCAGTCAAAAGAACTTACATTTTTTCCTATAAATCGGGCAGAGAAAGGGAGACACAGAACGTTCTGCTGTGTTTTGTTTTAAACAGAAGAACGACCTTATCAAAACAAGTTCAAGGAATTTGATTGGCAATGCATGTGGGAGTGCCTTGGGCCAGTCAGACAGAAAGCAGCGAAGCCAACATTTCTACTGGTTGAGATCCAGGATTGAAAAGAAAATTACTGAACCAGTTCTGTGTACAAGCGAATTAAAGCAAAATGTGAGTCTCACTTCAGGACTTTGTGACTAATTAGGCATGGGGGTGGCCGGTGGGAGAAGAGGAGGAGAACTCAAGGTTTCCAGGGCGGGATGCAACGTGGATGGAAAGAATGGTGAAAATATGAGCAGAATGGGAGAATCATGAAGAGGACTTGATTTACCCAAAATATTCCTATCTATTTAAATTCGGTTTTCAGCATCATTCATTTCAATAAAAAACAGCCCAAAATACATAGGAAAATAGTCTTGCATGCATAGTAAGCCTCATCGGGGCTGCATGAATGAAATTTTGTGTGACCTGAAACTCCACTTCCACCTCTCAGAACCTGGCTTCCGCTGTACCTGAGATGCAGCCCATGACTGACATTCACAGTGGCTACATAATTCTTGCTGCTTCCTGCAGAAAAGTTCAAAACTATCTTCAGAATAAACTTGGGGCACCTGGCAACTGTGTCAGTAGAGCACGCAACTCTCGATCTTGGGGTAGTGCGTTTGAACCTCACGTTGGGTGTAAAGATTACTTTAAAAAATCTTTAAAAATAAAAATAAAAAAATAAGATATGTGTGCATTTTTTAAATGACTTCATGTGTTGAATCACTTGGATTCTTTTACAATGGTTACTTTTACAACTGCCATTGATTTCAACCCGTGTACGAAGATGGAGTCACCTCGATCCTAAAGCAGCTCTAAGGGAAGGCAGGGAGAGAGACTGCTCACAAGAACACAGATATTTCTCAGTGTTATGTTCAGCCTTAAAACCTAACTTATCTTGAGCCATTGTCATCCCTATTAAAAATTGGACGGGGACTCAGTTTTTCAACTAGGTACGTATAGATACTTGACCCATGCAGAATTCCAGGTACCCAAATCTCACGCACTATTTTCAGGTACCTTGCTCATTTTCCATATTTGAGCATCGACTTGGGGAACATATGTGAGCAGCCGCTGGAAATTTTCCATTCTTTTGAAGAGAGCCAAACACTGGTTCCAAGACTATAATTTTCTCTTAGTGTGAAAAATGATTTAAAAATGCTTTTAGGGAAAGATTTTTTTTTTTTTAAGGTTTCTTCTTTTTTTCTGAGCAGAAAGAAATACAAAGAAGCTTAATTTGAAACTACATTTAACTCAGGAAACAGGAAACTTTCTTTCCTAGCCTAGATTTGAGTACTTCTGTTATGGTCATGTTCTTAGGTCAGCTCTGAAAGGGATGACTGGACCACTTGCAATATCACTTAGGAGATGTTCTTAGAGCGGTTTTATTGTTGTGTGGTCACCCCAGTATCCTTACGGTTTTAAGTTAGAACATTATGAATTACTTTATGGTTAAATATATACCCAAATCCACCATATTCGCCTGTTATGCATGTATGACAGCAAGACCTAAACTCTCAGAGAGAGGCAGACAGAGAGAGAGAAAAATGTCAGCATCTGGATGGAAGCAGAACACTGAAAGATAACTGTGGTATCACAGGCACCTTGAGAACGACAATTCAAATTTAAAAGGGGTGCCTTACAGACAGGAGGGGTGTAGGAAAGAAAAGCACATTTCTAGCAACATCCCAGCCTTTGTCTAATGAATAGATGAACAGATTTGTGTAAATGTACACATCCAGAGTATTTTAGACTTCCATCCATCTTTTTTTCTGAGGGCTTCGCAGTAAAATAGAGAATTTTTTGTTGTCGTTTTTGCTTTTTGGTGTTCTTTTCTTTAATAAATGGCAATTGGGGAACCTGGGTGGCTCAGTGGGTTAAAGCCTCTGCCTTCGGCTCAGGTCATGATCCCAGGGTCCTGGGATCGAGCCCCGCATTGGGCTCTCTGCTCAGCGGGGAGTCTGCTTCCTCCTCTCTCTCTGCCTGCCTCTCTGCCTACTTGTGATCTCTGTCTGTCAAATAAATAAACAAAATCTTTAAAAAAATGGCAAAAGGGCTCTTGAATAGCTACAACATGAAGTTTGTTGAGAAATGCAATAATATCTTAAACCCTGAGAAATAAAAGAAACACCTGTATGACTACAGCGACTGGGAACTTGAGCCCTGAGCAGTATCTACACTCTTGCTTTGAATTCTTAGAGGTTACTCTTGTAGCTCTCACAGTTACAAAATTACATGCTCCCTCTCCTTAGCAGAAGAAGTAGAGGTTTTATTATTGCGCAATCCCAGGAATCTGATTTGAACAATGAAAACCAGCAAAACAAACAGGCAAGGGAGTTCCTCGCACACTGCTCATTGCTGCCCACGTGCTGCATTGATTCTGACTTCGATGATTTGCCGACGCTATTCCGTCCCCATCCCTTTTTCCTTCAGCCGATTCCAATACAGTCCATACAGTTCAGGTCACACATTAACGACTCCAGGAAGCTACTCACCCCACCCCACCTGCAGGAGGCTGTCGTTCGTCTTTGGATCCCAAGCACCCAGCCCAGTGTCTGACGTGTAAAAGCAGATTAGTAAAACGTTAAAGGAATGTATGAATTGACAGCAAGTTTCCCTCTCCAGATCATTCTCGAAAAAACTTTACAAAAAGGTGGTATCCATCATGCAAAGGGTATTTAGCCGGCATACAATTTTCAGCGCCCATAATCACCTTTCACAGTGATAATTTTCCCATGTCAATGCTATCCCTTTACCATTCCACCCATGATGAAAGCAAAGCCGTGAATGACGTCTAGACCTCAGTATTATTTCTCACCCAAGCCCGAGTGCAAGGGGCTCCCCCACTCTGCTGTGCTGCCACGAGACACGGCTGAGCCAGACCCTGTCCTGAGCCCGCGTCACTCCCACGGCAGCCGTGCTCATTCTACTGATGAGGACACACTCTCAGCTACAAGTGTCGGCCACAGCCAACCGTACCCTCAACTGCAGGTTCACAAACAGGAAAATATTGTGAGGCTTTTGTACCTATGATATTGGAAGACTTTGTAAGCCACCAGAATGGTTACACTTTTGATGTGTATCCTTTGCAAAAATAATCTCTTTTTGTAAGTTCTGCTAAAGCCGTTAGCGAAAACTTTAGCTCTTAATCAGTGGAGGAGGCTGAAATATTCCTGAGGCAAAGGCACTGACCTTTTGAATATTTCTCTTTCAGGAAAATAAATAGGCTTTTTTTTTTTTTTTTTGCTTGAGGCAGAACTCCTGGGTTGTTTTTCCAAGCAGATCTTTAATTCAGATCATGACAATTTATCTGGATTTTTAAACTTTGTTGTGTAAGTTCCATAAGCCATAAAAAGATTTCTTCAGACACAAAGCAAGGATTCTGGGGCCCCTTCAAAGCCTAACAAGCTGAAAGGAAAGGCAGCAGAAATGGCAAACAGCAAAGATGACAATAACCCAAAGACACAGGACATCGAGATGATCCTAAGGATGGCCGCCCACCATCTCCCAGAATCAAGATGATTACTGACCAA